CAAGTAGTTACCTGAATACATTGGCTCAACAGATACATTTACTTATGTCAATTTTAAAAAGTGAAAGGAAAAATAACTAAAGAATGGTAAGCTTATAGAAGGCTCTCCAATTGAATGCAATGAAATGCTCTAACTAAAAAAGTATAAATATACTAATTATGAAATTACATCTAAAAATTATTTCATGTGCCCTACTAAATTTTATGAAAATTAATTACTAACCAGTTTACGATGAATACTTCTTATACTATAAAACAAAAAACAAATTATAAGAAACAGGAAAAGTATGGGTCTGTACAGTAATGAATTAAATTAAAAGTATAGATTTGCATTCAGCATTCTTGATGTTTTTAGTTTTCTAGTAAATTAGTCGCCTTATTAAAATAATTTGTTTTTTTCTAATATTGCTTTTTTTCTGAAAATAGGTAAAATTCATACACACACAAACACACTTACTGTACGATTCTATTACAATTAAGGTATATCATTAGACTAACATGTGTATATTTAACTTTATGTGAATCAAAACTCAAAGCCTGTATGTGTTTGCAGGCAGAGAGTTCACATGTTCAAAGAAAAATATATAATACATTTAAGAAAATACTTCTTCAGGACTTAGAAATGTATAGATTTTCTTTATATTTCTCTATGATTTTTATTATGACCATAAAAATAAAAGCTACAGCAGGAAGTAATTTGTGAGTTGAATTATATCATTATTAACTTTCAAAAAAAAACTAAGTTTTTTCAATGAAGATAGCATACTTTGAATGCAATTGTCACTCTCCAATTTTCTTCTTTTAAAGTTACATACAAATAATTTACCTAACAACTTTAGTTTTGGGTAATTTTCTACACTCAACACTCTCATTTAGTGTAATGTCTGTCTCTTATACACATCTAGATGTGTATAAGAGACAGGAATTATATCATTATTAACTTTCAAAAAAAAACTAAGTTTTTTCAATGAAGATAGCATACTTTGAATGCAATTGTCACTCTCCAATTTTCTTCTTTTAAAGTTACATACAAATAATTTACCTAACAACTTTAGTTTTGGGTAATTTTCTACACTCAACACTCTCATTTAGTGTAATGTCTGGAGGGTCAGTGTCTTAGTTATTTCAACCGTGAAACATCTGATGTTGACATAGACAATTTTGAAGTAAATGTCTTTTTCATATTTACTGCATCTGTAAAAATATATTTTACTATGAACTCTCTGGTCTTGTTTTAGCTGCCATTTTTAAACAATTCTTCATTCAAAATCATTGCATTTATTAGGTTTTTCTCCAATATGAATTCCCTGATGTGGAACAAGTTTTAAGAAACTGTTTCAGGGTTTTCCTCTAATACAAAATCTGCACAATAACATCTATGACACAAGTAATCGTACTACAACCCCCTTTATATATGTAATATTTGTCTTGAGAATGAATACTCTTCTTCACTTAAATGGCCTATATTTTCTGAAAGATATTTTGACAGTAATTGCACTTACAATGCTTTTATTAAGTAGGAGTTCTTGGATGTTCATTAAGATATGAGCAGATATCAATGTCTTTTCCATGTTCTTTATAGTTGTACAGTCTTTTCTCAAGTCTAAATGCTTTCTTGTGCAATAAAATGTGAGCACTAGTTAAAAGTCTTGTCACCTTCTTCACACACGTAGTTTTTTACAGTATGAATTATCTTGCCTACAATCAAGAGTGACAACCATTTAAAGGCTTTGACATATTCTTCACATTTCTGTGGTCTGGGACCACTATGATTTATATTTTCAAAAGTTTGAGGTGGGTCGGGCATGGTGGTTCATGCTTGTAATCCCAGCACTTTGGGAGGCCAAGGCAGGTGAATCATGAGGTCAGGAGATCAAGACCATCCTGGATAACATGATGAAACCCCGTCTCTACTACAAACTACAAAAAATTAGCCGGGTGTAGTGGTGGGCGCCTATAGTCCCAACTTCTCATGAGGCTGAAGCAGGAGAATGGCATGAACCCGGGAGGCAGAGCTTGCAGTGAACTGATATCATGCTACTGCACTCCAGCCTGGGTGACAGAGCGAGACTCTGCCAAAAAAAAACCAAAAAAAATGTTTGAGGTGTTGTTAAAAGCATTGCCCCATCTTTCAGGTTTGTAGAGTTTTTCTCCAATATAAATTATTTTATCTCTGCTATGAATTGAGGGCTCGTAAAAGGCTTTCCCACATTCTTCGTGCTAGTAGGATTTCTCTCCAGTATGAATTGTGTGTAATAAGTGTTGAGAAGTTGTTAAAATTTTGTCCCATTTTTCACATTTGTTGGGATTCTCCCCAGTATGAACTACCTTATGTTTAGTAAAGGATAATAATACACTAAAGGATTTGTCACATTCTTAACATTAGTAGAGTTTCCATCCATTGTGTATTATCTCATGTTTTGTAAGGCTTAAGGACCAGTTAAAAACTTT